ATTGACTCTGTGCAAAACAAAGATGCTGGGATATTCTAGCTTGGAAAAAGGTGGAAAAAAAATGCTTGGTCAATAATTCTTGTCTGTTGTAAGAGTCTGGAAGATTTCTTTCCCCTTGAAAAATTGAATTAACTAATAGTATCAGAAAATTGTGCAATAAGACACTTGGCATAGTCCAAATATTCATATATAGCTGGGCTGCTTCAAACAAGCATTTATTTATCATTCCTTTATACTTGATCCTGAGTATCTCTAGTAGATAATGTGCTGGTGGTGAAGAAGGAAAGTCCATGTCATAGAAAACTCACTGGTCAGGTTAATCCACAGCAAGATTCAGGTAATAAAGCTGCAGTACAATTTGTATAAAAAAATCAATACATTAGCACAGCAGAATTCTGTCTTTAAGTGAGGTTTGAAGCAGCAGAACTGGCTGAATTTGGAGAATAATCTCTGTGAGCATAACCAGGGTGAGAGCTCTGCACAGGCAGTCTCCAACCTCCCAGCATACTCAGCACCATTCTCCCCTGAAATCTTCTCCCCAGGCAGTTTACACTACAATTTAGGTAATAAAGAAAAACAAACTGGGCTATTATATTGTGGTAATAAGTCCCACAAGTTAACAAAACATTGCCAATTATAGCAATCTGTCTATCCATGTTTAATGCTTTTCCATTTCACTGAGCTGTTTCTTGTTCTGGTATCATGAGAGAAAGGGAAAAACATAAATACCCACAAGGCCTCTGCTCTAACTTGCCCTCTGAGAATTTGTTCTCTTGATCTTTGCAGTACTACATCTCTCTCAGAATTCTTTTAAATGAAAATCAAGCTGTGCCTTCCCTATTTCTCTCATAATTGTCTGGATTTTTCTGATTACATAAACAGGGTTTAATATTTCTCAACCACAGCAGAACACACTGCATATGTATGGGAACAGGTAAAAAGAAACACAAGCATCTAAGATAATAATATTTTCTCAGAAAAACCTCTGTGGAAAACAAAATATTTTATTTCAGCTATTCTATATGCAATGAGAGCCAGCTGAAAAAAGTTATCCTAGGTCCCCTAAGCAGCATTTTTTATTAAAGAGAAGAAGAAATACTGAATGCAAATAGAACCAGAACAATTTTGAGCAATACACAAGGAGCCACTCTGAGTCTCAAGGGATTTAGAAATACTTTCCACTTATACTTCAGATTTTGGTCTTCACACAAAATAGTCACTTTCTCCAGTAACCAGCACCTTTGTGGAAAGGTCAGTCAGTTGTGAAAGGAAAGCATTTCTCATTTATTTTACTACTAAAGGTGGAGAAGCTCCAAAAAGTCCAACAAATTTCAGTCTCAATTCATTTCAGACGGGATTTCCTTCCAGAGATAGCACCATATTCCTTAACTGCTCCAGTACTTGAGTCCCTTTTCCTCCCTGAACAGATGGATCTGAATAATTGCATTTCAACTCCAGCAGTAAGAGAGGCACAGCAGTAGGACTGAGAACAACCTCCCATGATTGCTGGACAGACAGAACTGCAGCATTCCTCTGTCCTACAGAGGACAAAAGCAGAAACAATGCTAGCACAACAGACAGGTCCCCATCCTACTGGCAAGGAGCCTCTTGCCTGGTTTTGCAGTAACAGCAAAATCATGAAAAGCTTCAGTAATAAACTGCAAATTTCTTAGTGTCTGCAGATTCACTACCCTGATTCAAGCAGCCACCAGCCTTGAGCACAGATGAAAAACACACATTTATTCCCCTAAAAATATAAAATCCCCTTGCAGCCCCCAAGCTCCACAGCATGCTGAGACACAGTCATAGCCAGCACAGGATCATTCATCCATGTAAAACCCCCGCAGGTGTATGATCCTCTTGGAGGACTTGAGCATCACAAGACAGAGGCTAACTAGGAGCATCTGGGGACAAAGGGGCCAGTTTGGCAAGAGGTGTTCTCAAGCATTAAAGATGTTCACCAGCAGCAGGGTGACATAAATAGTCAGGTCTGTGCTGAAAAGTCATGTGAGCCACTGTGCAAGAATGATGCATTTCATGGCGAGAGGCTATGCTTTCCTTTCAGCCTCACTACATGTTTCATGAGGAACTGAGGGCACTCCAACAACAATCAGTGATGAACTGGGATCCCTGCCACATCTCTGCCTGGCTTTCTGGGGACTGCTTCCCTTTGGTTCTCACAGCTGTGCTATAACCAGCACCTTGGAGCTGCAGCTCCTGGAGTCTCAAGGGCACATATAGTGGTATTCAAAATAGCACCATTTGTACATCAGATCCCAGAGGGCCCTGTAGGCAGCTCATATAGCCTGTTGCAGGGAGCCAGGGCTGAGGAGCTCTGAGCAGGCATCACTTGCCCAATAAGGAAACTCCCCTTCAGCTGGCCCCTCACAGCAGCACTTCCTTTTTGTGAGCATTCACTATTTTTATCCCTTTACCTGAACAGAAGCCTACAACCATACCTCTAACCACTCATCAGAACAAATCACACTGATTCAAAGAAAGCCTTGAAAGTTGCATGATCCAGGAATATGGAAGATCAGACTGGAACTGGAACACAGGAACTGGAATGGCTTGGCACAGCACTGCTTGCTGTGGGGTACTGCTGATAAAAGGCACAGGTAACCTGCAGGCCACTGCAAGCATGTGGCCTCTATTTCTGCAGTAGTTACCTGCATGCCTTCCATATATTCTCATTATGATATCTAATACACAAGATAAAATTGCCACAGAATATTCTAAAAGCTCCACAGGCATGGTCTGTATGTATGTCTTGGGGAAGGAAAAGGTGAAAATTGCTCCATGTTTTGGAGTGCTTGAAGTACTGAGTAGACATCAGCCAATTGGACCATAGCAACATTCCAGCTCGATCTTTAAAGTGCAGAAAGGGTACTCCCCCTAAAATGATGGTAAGTCAGAACATGCCCCAGGGATCCTGCATTGCCACTATGTTCAGAGAAAGTCAGCCTGAATAAAAGGCAGTCAATAAGCCTTAGCTTGTAGGACTAGATGGAGCAGACAGAATCCAAGTTCTCTGGGACAGGTAATCGTTCTGCCTCTGTGTTTATACAGCACAGACAACTAAGGGAAACTGGTCTAGTCATCAAAGTAGTAATATGAAGTAGTCATAACTACATCATCAGGATCCACATTTATGGACACAGGTAATTCCCACTCCTACTTTACAAATAAGAAAACACTGGCCAAAAAAACCCCATGATGAACACAAGGCCAGAGTCAGTTCAGAGCAGGAGAAAACAACCCACACAGTGTTGTTATGAATTCCTGTGCCACCTTGCCAGCTTCTTAGCCCCCTTCTAACACTGTCACCATACAAAGAGCTGCCCCAGTGTGTTCTCACAACTCAGACAGTTCCAATACCTGCAGCTGAAGGCACCGTGTCCTCAGCAATAACTGAACTTCTGCCCCTACGGCAGCTTCACTGGCAGAGTTTAATACTAAAGCAGCAATGATGTTTTCTGCCTCACAAAATGACAACAGGCTCAGGCTGATCTGACATGCTCTCTGTTCCCTAGCAAAAAATTATTTTCCAAGGGACTTCCACCCATATTACTATGCCAGGTAGTCTCTCAACACGAGAGCAAGAGAAGGTGTTTCCCTGGGAACAGTAACCATGGCAAAGCCCTTACTAGTCTCTTCCCCTCTCTACTACAGGAAGAAAAAGAGCAGCAGATGACTGAGCTCTGCCTCCAGTAGGTCCATAGGTCCACAAAGCCATAAGCAACCTGATCAAACATTCAGGAAGGAACTTCAATGAATCCACTGTCTTTTACAGGATACCAGACATTTCTGCCCTGCTGTGCTGAACTCGGAATGCCTCAGTACAAAGAGTGCAACTGGAAACATCAGTGTTACTGAAAGGTCAGCCAAATACAACAATGCATAGGTAGGCACTGAGCCCAAAGATCAGCATGGATGGATCACCCACAGAAGCAGAGGTACAATGGGCTGGCTTTGCAGTTTTCAAACCCTGACATTGTACATTAGAGCCCTATTAAAGAAAGCATCTGCAAAGACCAGTTTGTGAGCAGTGGCTGCAGCCGATATCCTGCTTCTGGTCTACCTCTTTTTCTACAGAATATTCTCGATTTAGCAGATAGAATGCAACACTCTTTGCTGAAGAGCTAATTAAATAGTAATAAACAATTTAACTTTCAAATACAATCATATTACATGCTTGTGGGAATCTTCATCATGCACTAGTGAACATGTTGTAAATTTCTGGGTTTGAGGTTTACTACATATTTATTCAAGTACAGAGGGCAAATGAAGGGGAGCTCTTTGAAAAATCTTCTCAATGACACAGAGAAAAAGTGTTCTATGATTCAGCAATCTTGATATGTCAATAGACAGTCAACAGCCTAGATCACTGCATCACTCCACTTCAGAGTTAGCATGCAGTTAACAGAAATTGCTAGGTACCAGTACCTTGTACTAGCAACCCTCTGAGAGTGGAATACTGCCCTGTACCTGGGCTGACTCACACAGAGCACAAAAAGCTCCATTGTACTGCTTTCCAAATTAAAAAAAAAATCTTGACAGAGAGGAAGATATTGACCTTCTACGTAATAATTCAGGAGCACAGGGTGACAGGGTCAGCTGGGTCATGACACACACTGCTCCAGCTCTTTACATTTATTTTTAAAAAGTATTTTCTGTGCACAACAGATACCTACTCCTGACATATACAGAAAACTCAGTGTCTAACACCCAAATGAAATAAATATTTATTCAAAATAAGTCTAACATTGATTTTAACCTCCTTTAGGTCAAATCATTGCAAATATCCCAGAAATATACAGCCAAATCAAATGCTGCAAACACACCTGAGGTAATACCCAAATCCAGCCAGTTGCCTTTCATTATCACTGACTCCTCAGAGAAAGCATTAAGAATATAATCTCTTTTTGCAAATTGCCTGGGGATGCAATGCAATTACCACTGCAAGAAGATGCTATTTTGTTTAAAGATGCTACACATACCTTTCTTTGCCATGTGCTCCAGTCTAATGCATTCTCCTATAAAATCATGGTAAGATTTCATTTCTCCTTCTGTTATCCGGACAGCAGTGAAAGGCAGATTCCTGGGTACCTGTTGTCCACATTTCCGACACCGAGAAGCCATTGCCACAGCTCAGGAGACTCTTGTCAGGAATCTGCTCTCTGTTTGCTAGAATCCAGCTTGATTCTTCAGCTGTCAGTCCAGCCTGGTGACTTTATCCCATTTAGTTCATTCAAGGTCATCCTCGCCAGCAGGATGTTCACCATTGCAATTGGCTAAGACTTTTATAGGCTTACTGACTGTGTTTGTTTCTCCCTCCTTGCCTTCAATATCAGTTTACTTTAATCTCTCATTCAGAATGAAAGCTGTGAACCTCAGCACAGCCCATGCCCTGAATGGCTTCCTTATCATTAATTTAAAGCTGTCTTATAAGCAACAATGAAGAAAGAAGATCCCAGAAGCACATTGCAAGATCACAGAACGACTCTTAATGAGAATGCCAGATATGTTCACAAAGGTTTCTCTTCATAATTTTTGGTTCCTTTCAGGCTTACGATTTTGATTCTTCATCTCTGAGAATGAATTTTTTTACTTCAGCATTTCAGCTTGGACGGTGCAAGGAGACTGCTCTGCAGAGCTGCTCAACCAATTACTCACACGTCTGGCAGTGGCACTGGGAGGCTGCAACTGTACAGAAAAGCCCTCTGCTGCTGTGCACAGTCCCTGCTCATAAGATCTGATAATCGAAATGAACAGAGTAGCAAATGGAGGACAAGGGAAATATTGTTGGCAGACATGCTCTGCTAGCTGTGCAACCCCCCAACTAATTTTTTAAACAAAGAAATTGGACCCATTAGTTAGACACCAAACTCAGATATTTGAAACATCCATTTAGAAATCCCCTTTGGAAGGGACTGGATATTTAAGCTGACTTTTTTTCCCTTTTAATAATTACCATAACACATATCACTGGTTAGAGAGCCTTATGAAGAAACTAGTTATTGAGGAATTGAGTGGAGAGAGCACTCAATCCTGATACAGTGAATTAAAAAGGAGCTTTCCCTAGGATCAGTAGGGGACTGCACAGGAGATGCATAACAGGCACAAGGCCAACACTGGTGACAGTGCAAAGAATACAATGAGAACCCAATGAATCAGGGCTGAGCTGCCACCCAGAGCCCAACTGCAGTGACCTGAGCACAGAATGAGTTTCCTGCAAGGATATTACACACAGATTGAGAACCTTTGCCTTCCTCTGCCTCAGTCACTAACACCTGTTGGCACTTTACACAGTGTCAGAACATCCAGTGCTGTTCAGCTTGTGACCTGCTCAGATCACAGCAGATCCCTAGATGTGGAGTGGGAAAGCAGAAGGCTAATTAATCCAAATCAGAGAACGACCTAGAGGGGACAAAGATGTCCAGGAGAAAAAAGCCTCCTATGGTGCCACTACAAAAATGCTGAATAACTGGCTGGACTGCATTGAATGCCTGTAAGCTGAAATATACAGAAGTCAACTCACCAGCCCCTACTTCTTTCCCATTCAATGAACTTGCAGCTTCTCCCCAGCCAGCTCTGCTGCCTCATGCACACAGGGAGAGATGTTTAAGCTTCTAAGCCAGCACACACAAACTGGCCTTGTAATCAAACAGCTACCAGACTTGAGAACTGAGTCTCAGAACCTCTTCTTTTGATGAAATGAAGCTATAAGGGACATTTCTACTCTTAAAGGTAAAAGATTTTTACCCTCACCTCCAAATTTGCTATGTGGTATGAAGTTGCTCAATCTCCTGCTCTTTGCCTTTGCCAAAACCCTGCCTGCAAAGTGAGAACATTGATGTACTGAGCTGTTGAATAACCTGATTCATTAGCATTTGTAAAATATTTATTAGAGCTTCCATAGAGCAATCCCTAGGGGAGAGGAATATTTTACAGATAGGGAGAGCAGTGGCACAGAAGGCAGAAATACTTTGTAGAAAACTGTCATGATGAGATAAGAAAACTAGAAACACAACCCTGCTGTTTTATCTTTAAATATTCCCTCCCTCTTTTCTTTCATTACAAGTACTCAAGGTGTCCTTCCTTACAGGGACAAACATGATATACCTTGGCAAATAAACATTTCTGACAATACATTCATGTCTGACATACACAGAAGAATAGCACTTCAATCCTGCACACAGAGATAAACAATGAGGCAGAATCCAGCATTTGTGGAAATACATTTCTGTCTGCCATCCTTCCTCGTGTACACTGGTCCCCACCAGTGTGACATGCTGCCTTCCAAGGGGGAGACTTGGTGCTGGAAGTGGATGCAAGAAAAAATCTGCCCTAGATGTGAGCTTTGGAAGCACCGGTAGCCACAGAATACACAACAGGGAAATGATCTAAAATAATTTCCCAGTCTTTCCCTAGGAAAGCCTGATGCATTACAATGCTAAATACAAACTTCTGCTGCCTGGGGTACCACTGCCATCACCCAGCTCCAGACACAAAAATAAGCTGGCTGCAGCTGCTACACATTTAGCAACAGGGCACATAAGGGTCACTTCAGGGACTGAGTGCTGTGATGGATGGACAGAAGGATCTGTTTGCTCTACTGTAAGTTTCACTGCAGTCCCATTCACAAACTGGGCTAGCTTCTCCTGGCACATATGGAAAACCTGACATGGAAGCACTGAGACCTGCCCTGTTTCTTGTCACACAAATAACCTCTTCTGTACTGCTTTGGCTGTGTCTGCACAGGAGCTGCAGTAAAGCCTGCCTTGCAGGAATTCTTCTATGTAACATATTACCAAACACAAACTCCATGTTGATAATGTAGAATTCACAAATTTCCTTCATTAGCTGAAAGGTACCAGTCTATTTGAAAGAAGAAGGTTGTAGTGCAGGGAGCAGGTACAGAAAATTGTATGCATGCTTCCCTGGGTCTTCTCCATAATAACACAGAATGGAAAGGCATTACTTTCCTGCTGCTCTAAACACCCATAGCAAAATGACTGGAAAATCTAAGGAAGAAGGAGGATATTTTATGGTCATGAATTGGCAGCATTGCCTAGCAACATAATCTGCATTGGTCTGTCAATGAATAAGCAAGTAAATAAATGTAAGAAAGTGTCATCATAAATTAAAAATTAAAAAAAACCCCATACAACAAAAATAAATAAAGAAAAAAAAACCCACTCTACAACCCAGATACCCTAAGATGCCATTGCCCAAAATAGCCTGCAGAACTGCACTAGTTCCTAATTTCATTAGAAACAGTTTGCCTTGGAATTGATGCTTGCTGGAAAGTGCTTGCTGCCACGACTTTGTGACCAGAGGATGGCAACAAATTTAAAGTCAGCTCAGTTAAATCCATTTAAGCCCCATATCTCTTCTCCTGAAATAAGATGTTTCTGCCCCAAAAAGCTGTGCTGTAATGGTTGGTATCACTGTTAAGCACAAAACATGCAACAAGCACATTGGATCTCAATGATGATGAGCCTGAGACATAATTTCTTGTGAATAATCAAGATTTGAGTTAGGGAACAGCATTTATATGTCAGAGGAAGGAGGAAGAGAAGCCTACTTCTGCTGCACGTGTAAATGAGGCAGCTAGAAAACACTGTAAAACACTCCCTGTTTGCAGCTTACCCCACACAGTCTTTAGAGCAATTGAAGGGAAACTGGAGTTGCTTTTCTATTGGAGCCTTGTAAGAACTGTCAGGAAAGTTTAGTGTAGAAAAAACTGAAAAAATTATCTCTCTTATCCACCAACATTTTAGAGATGACAAAACATAAAAACCCAACAGCAAAAAGGATCTTATTTATTAGTGAAGACCAGCAGCTCCCCCCAACCTATGTATGTAGTATTCCACAAATCTAAGAAATAAGTTGTCTAAATCCAATGCCATTATAAAGACTAATACACACAGAAGCTAAGAAAATAATCTATATTTCTTTCCTGAAACCCCAGCTTCAAATTTTCCTATTTCATGATGTTTTATCTGATGTTTGAACTAATCTTTGATAGCTATGCCGAAATACATTTTCATTTTGCATATACCTCAATAAGCTTCCTTCTGCCTCCCCATCTCCCAGATCTTGAATCTGATCAGCCATGAGGCATATCAGTAGTTTGACACAAACGTTTATTTTCAGAGCACTCTTGGTGCAATGGTAACATCCATTCCTGTGTTCATATAGAAAATAGAAACTAGTATTTTTTATTAACTTTCATTTATTTTCTTCCAACTAAAAAAAAGCAGACCAGGACTTCCTCTCCCTCCCTTTTTAATGAAGGGCTATATCCCAGGAATAGTTTTAAACCCCAAGGAGTTAAAGGAATAAGCAGAGGAAAAAACACCTCTGTTCTTGAAATTCCTCATAGCATACAGCATTGTTGCAATTGCAACATGCAGTTCCTGCACTAGAAGGCACTAATTCCAGTGCCATATGGCTTCAGAATCTCATTACACTGATCTGCTTAAAGTGATTTCTTAACGGACAAGCAAAACATTTTTGGTCACCTTCAGCAGAGAGAAACAATTCTGCCACTGTTGACGCACATGAACTCCCACGCAAACTGCCAAAAGCAGGAGCGAGCAGTGAAGATCAAGGGACAACCTTAGCCAAGGAACTTTCGTTGTCATCTCAAAGCTGTGAAGACATCAAGGGTATTCAAGGACCATTACCATCATTTAAAAAAAAAAAAAAAAAAAAAAAAAAAAACAAAAAAAAAAAAAAAAAAAAAAAAGGAAAGAAAATCCAAAACTAATAAACAAAACTGCAGATGAAAAGAAACCCCCAAGCCAATGACATCACTGCTGGATTAGACAAGATTCTCAGAAGATCAGGAGAGAAGCAGAATCTTCACAGGCCAAGCAGTGGGCACAAATTGTTGCTGCACCTGCAGGGTTTATTTTACCTGGCTCTCTTGATCTCTGCAACTAAGAGCAGATCACCAAGAACAGAAGGCATTTCTGTCCTGCTAGGTCTCTGCTTGGCAAGATAAAGAAACAGATCCCAGAATTACTAAAGTGTAGCTGGCACAGGGGTACAGAGTAGCTGGATCCAGGGTTCAAGCTTGGATGCAAAGTTATTCCAGTCTTGACGATGAAAATAGTTACAGATCTACATGAGACCAAGAGCCTTTCTGAGTAATCTACCCAGAACATAAATGGCTCTTGGCTTAGAGTCATGGGAATAAACTGAGAGACAAGTAAATACAAAAGAAATACAAGAGAGAGACACTGGATAATGCAGAGAAGGCTGTGATCTATAAAACCAGGCTTGTCAGATCCCCATTCTCCAGCTCCTAAACCCTATAACCAGTGCATGGGCAGTCTTTGTGTCATGACCCTCCAGCAGCACCGTGACAGCTGGAAAGCACAGACTGAACATTTAGAAGGGAACATGTTTTTTCCTCTCTGTACTCTGCCATTGACACACTGAGTCACCTCCAGGGCATGGTAACCCTGATCCTTGCTGTCATCCAGACCACTGCATTCACTGCACTATTCCTCTTTCTTTCCCCCTTCACCTTTTTCCCCCTGCAATGAACCTCTGGAGCATTCCCAGTGCAGAACAGCTCCTGGATCCATGCAGCCAAGACCACCAAGACAGCTTCTTTCCCTGAGGAGCAGCTGTACACATTCCCTGAAACAGCTTTTTTTTTTTTTGTTTTGAAACACATAAAGGAGAACTAGAAAGACACAGGGATAAAAATATCATCTGTGAGCATCACAAGGGCTGTTGATACTCCAGGCTTTTGGACACAAGCCAAATGCTAGCTGAACAAGAAGAAAGAGCTTCTCACATTACAAAGTACAGTAAAGGCCTTTCCAATGTTTTCTTGCCATCTCTCAAGCACTCAACATCAGTTACCACAAGGGGTAGGAAACTCGGCCTTAGGGACTATTGATTTTTCCCTGTTTGCCTGTGTGTGCACTGAGGTTCACTCAGTCACTCTGGGCAGCCCACAAGGAAAAAGAAGCTCTTGTAGAGACTTTTCTGGATGCTGCTTCGCCTGACTGGGCTCTCAGCTGGCAGATACACGTCAAACACACTCCTTTAACATCCCCCAGGCAGGGCTTGTGTTCATCTAGGGAACTGAGGATAAAATCAGTCAAAGAGGAGTTATTCCCTCTGCTCTGGCAATTGTGAAGTACACGTCCTTTTTATTTTCCCCAGGAGAGGACTGCTGTCAGAAACCAGAGGTCTGTCCTGAAGGACCTGTCCACACAGGCATTTCTCTGTGCTGAGCACCAGCAAATGAGAAGCTGGAACACTTTCCTCTGTGTGCATCCACAAGTGCAAACACACAGGGCAGCTGGATGCTTGCACACACCCACCCAGGTAACAGGAATTTGTCCTGTTCAGTGCATTGTACTGCAGAGCTGTTCCTTCCTCATGCCCACTCACAGCCTGAACCCCTGCACCATTCCCAGCCCAGTTTACCCACCCCAGCTTTGTCTCTAAGCCACCAGCTGTAACACATTTAAGAAAGACACAATCTCTAGGGTGATTTCCCAAGTCACACCAAAGCCTGATGTGAAGCAGGAAAATACAGGTATGGATAATCTACTAGCAAATGCACTGGTG